TCCAGGTTTTTTGCTTTCATGAAACAATGCAGCAACATTCTGAACAACACACATTAGCAATGTTTTATTTAAATGTTTTATATTCAAATTGTTTTTCCATTGTCATGTGGTACCCTTCCCCCATCAAGAAAATCTCAGGTCAGGCACAGCGGCTCACCCCTGTAATCCTAGTACTCTGAGGGGCCAAGCCAGGTGAATTGCTTGAGCTCAGGAGTTGGAGACAAGCCTGAGTAAGAGCAAGACTTATATAACAAATGCGATCAGTGTAACCTGGTTTCTTGTACCCTCAATGGATCCCCAACAACAAAAAAAAAGAGCAAGACCCTGTCTCTACTAAAAAAAGAAAAACTAGCCGGGCATTGTGGCGGGCACCTGTAGCCCCAACTACTCAGGAGTCTAAGGCAAGAGGATCACTTGAGCCCTAAGAGTTTAAGGTTGCTGTGAGCTATGATGCACTCTACCTAGAGTGACAGAGTGAAACTTTGTCTCAAAAAAAGAAAGAAGGACTGTACCCCATGATGATTGTACACAGCTATGATTTAATAAAAATAAAATAAAAATAAAAGAAAGAAGGAAAGAATACCTCAGTTTCCTCTAACTGCTTTTTCCAGGCACTATTATTAGGGATACTGCAGAGAAGAAAACAGCTCTCAGGAGCTTCTCTCTGGGGGTAGGAGGGAACCCACAGATAACAGACATATAATAATCAGGAAACACTGTGATAGCAGTCAACGTTATGAAAAAATTGATGGGCAGCGTGATAGTGACTGGGTGGGGGTTTACTTCTAAATTGAATTGTCAAGGAAAGACTCCTGAGTAGGTGATGTTTCAGTGAAATCTCTGATTTCCTGTAATCTCTGCACACTGATTTAATTACATCCTTCCTCCGCTCTGGGTACTCCAGTGGATGTCTCTGCAGAGTGGGAGAACATGGCAGGATAACCACATTATCACTCAGGGGCCAGGACAGAGCTACCTGGTCTGGATCGCAAGAGCTCTGACCTCTGCCTCCTCCCCAGTGCAAAATCGATAGCTCTTCCCCTTTGGCTATGGACACGTGAACATGCATCCTAAAACCAGCCAGAAGACTTTCCACCCAAAGACGTCGATGCTTTATCCCCAAACAAGAGTTCTCAAAGAGAGAGGAAAGTGTTTCAGAAAATAACTGATTGCCACCATGGGCAGATATCTTCAAGTGACTGCCCAAAACAAAATGTGCTTGGTAGATATAGTTAAAAGAAATTCGATGGTGCTCACTGCCCTCTTCCCTTGATGTCTGTAAAATAGGATCCCCCAGAAAGCTTCAGCAGGGAGGAATTATGGTCTGGACATTATAGTTCCTTCTCCCCCATGGGTCTGCCCTAGTACCTCATTGCCCATCTTCAGCTATTCCTCTAAGCCACTCAAAAATCTCCATTGGAAACAAGCGTGACATTGTGTTAACAGCTGAACTATATTCAGTTCTCTTTACAAGGCACCTGCCGAGCCCTTCCCAAGCCCCGTTTCTTTTCCTCTCCTGAGCAATCTTTTGGCATAGCTAATATCATCTTACAGATGGGAACACTGAGGCTCAGAGAGGCTAAATTACATACACAAAAGTTACACAGGTAGGAAGCAGTGAGGCAGAGGACTGGAACAGCTGGTCTACCCAATTCTTAAACTC